CTGGTCTATTATTTCTCTATGCTGCGGTCAGAAGGGACTGGTCTATTTCTGAGCTGCCAAGATGGATAGGGACCTGTTGAGCTTCACCATGGCAATAATAAGAAGGCCACCAGTCAACAGGAAGGTGGGCCAGAAGAAGGAGAAGAGGAGGACTTGGGGCCCATAGAGACGCTGGTACACAACGCTGGTCTCATTGACTTGAGGTGCAGAAAAGCAATTGAAATCATGGTGCTTGTTGAAATTGGCTCTGACCTTCTTCACATCGACCAAGGCTGTCTGGTAGTTGTCCAGGTTCCTGGGGATATAGGAGCACTGTGGGGGAGAAGCAGGAGTACTTAGGCTTTTAAATACACACTTTTAAGAGGCCTGGGGTGAGGCTTTGGGGTACGAGAAAAAGATTTGGGCTCAGGAGTCAGCCACTGGAAAGCAAGGTTGCCATCTGTGTATGGATGGTGTCCTTGGTGCCACTCAACATGATAGTGCACACCTGAATACAGGGTCAATTAGAGGCCTGCATCTACTTTTATTTGCTGTGAAATCTTAGGCAAATTGCTCACCCTCTCTGAGCCTTCATAGTTTCATTACTGAGATGGTTTAATGGTGTCACAGATGGGCTAGAGAGAATTCTGAGTAATACAATTCCAGGGACAAGGGAGGGGGCGTTCTATATGAAAGCTCGTGCAGGTAACACTGAGAAGTGAAGCTAGACAGGGTAGTGACAGGGACCAGCTGGCGTCTGCCTCAGTGTCAGAATTGTCACCACTCCCTCTAGAGAATAGACACTATACCATGCACCAATACATCCAGAGAAGCCAGGAAACCTGATTTTAATACAAACTCTCAGGATTTCAAAATACTGGCTAAAATTCAAACCGAAGACTCTTTGAAGCCTTATCCTGTGCGAACCAAAGAAAATATGTTGGCACGCGGCGCTGTGACAGAATCCAAAGGGAAGAGAGAAAGTGCAGAAAAGAGCTTCAGGCAGGCAGAGCTCAGCGCACATTTAAACTCTGGCACTGGTAGTTGCCATTAGGAACCTTCTGGCCTGCGGAGCTGATGAGACCCAGCTGCAAAGCTCTGGAAAGACAGCCCAGAGTGGAGACCTGCCTTTTATCTTTCTGTACCAGAAGGACTGGGTGTCACTTGTGAACCACAAAGGTGAACCTCTCTGTAGACTTGCAGTGGAATACCAGAGGGGTGCTCATCAACATCAGCTCCTACCCTGTGGGGTTTGGACAGAGGAAGTGAAGACGTTCAAGGACCATGCTCTAGTGAAGTCATGTCCATGGTCAAATGTGTAAACCTGACGCTGATAGGCAAGAGTTGAGCTAGTCTCTCTCCCTTGGGATTCAGTTACCGCCTAAGCTTCCCATCCAGCAGCATGGAGGCGCCTCATCGTGGAGCTAATACATGGGAAATAAGGGAGCTGCAGGCAGATCAAGTCCCCAGCGAGCCCGAGAGAGCCAAAGCTCCTGGGGAATCTGGCCTTCGAAGACGTTGAGCACTGCAGGCTGCTTAATAGCAGGACCACCACTAGGAAGCTTTGACCATTGTGCACAGATTTCATTGTGGAACCAGGGAGGCCCAGGTTCAATCACAGCTCCTAAGCTGTGTGACCTTGACAACTAGAACACCCTCCTAAACCTTGTGAAGCCATTTTTGGTGGTGCCTACCTAGACCTGCCCTGGAGATTAAAGTAAGAAACTTACATAAAGCACTTGGCATAAGCCCAGATCTTATAAGTTCAAAATGGAAATAATAATGAATAATAATAATGCTGTCTTATCTACAAAACTGGAATAACTGCTGCTTTCCCATTTAAAGCATGAGCTCTGATATGGGGATCTGCACCCATCCCAGGGCACTACTGTGTCTTTTGTGTGCTTGAGGTTCCTCTAAATTCTATATTCTTGATTTGTTTCAAGGCCTTAAGGACTAGGACATTTTACCCCTCTCTGCCTGGACTGGTACAACCAGCCCTGAGTTATCTGCATGAGCTGAAATGTTAAAGACCCTGTCTCTAGTCTGAGGCTTCACTGGTGTTAGCATAGACTGCAAAGAGGGATTTAGAACCCCTTCCCTAGACGGAAGTTGATGGAAGGAGAGAAGAACAGCCCATGGAGGAGGAATAAGCACCTACCATGTCCAAAGGACATGCTACCAACTCAGACCATCAGCCAGCCACATATTCTGATGCTGGGCCAGAGAACGAAATGTGCTTGACTGTCCCAGCATGGCAGGCTACTCTTAACCCTCTGTGGTCTGTGGGTGTGTGGTTTAACAGCCTCCTACTAGAGAAGAAAGAATACATGCTCTCAAGCAGGGTTCATGCTACCTCTGGCTCCCTGGGCTGGCAACCTCAGAACCCCAGTGTGCCAAGAGTATAGCACCATACCATGGCATGTCATCTTTTAAAATGCTTTTCTCACTCCTGGGATAAATTATGGTTGCTGGATGCCCAAGAGGAAGGAGGAACCACTGGTAGAAGCTAATCCTAGTGGGCCTTGAGGTTCTTCTCTGACAGAATCATGCTAACCATGACCAGACATCTGAGTTCTACATACTGCCACCCCTTCCTTCCATGCCCCCAGCATCAGAGAGCCTACAGAGCCCAGCTCCAAACACACACACCAGACACCTTGCCCTTTCTGTCCCACCAGCCTCAATTCTGACTGTATATTATCCTTGTGACAGGTCCACATCCATCCTGGGGTCTGCTGCAGCCTAACTTCCATCCAGTAAATGACCCTACATGGCTTCTGAGCCTGTCTTCCCAGTATCACCTGAATGGTGACCGTAGGCCTCCAGCGGCTCATAGCAATAGCATCCAGCCTTAGATTCATCTAGAGAGCCCCACCAACTGATCTATACCCAGGGATTTTCTTGCCTCAGTTGGTTAGTGTAGAATTCTGGTTTTGTTAAGTCTAGATGGCTCTCACACACAGCCAGAGTTGAGATACCCCAATTTACATGCTGTTATTAATTCCGTAGTTGTACAGAAGACGTCCTCAGGCAAAAGACCGTAGACCTTCAGCCTCTTCTGGCCACTCCATCAGATGGCATTTCTGGAATCAGTCTTATAGCCACTGCCCTTGCCTAGCCTTCTCATGCCCATTCTAGGTCACAATGTACACTAGGATGCTGTGCGTCCATCATCACTTGTTTCTGTGGCTACAAGATTGCCTATTTTGAAAAGCTCAGCTTAACACTTCTCTACTCCGGGCCACACTGATGACGTCCTTGAGCCCATCACTCTCCTCTCTGTTCTCTGCAGCACTGGTCCTCCCTCCCTACTGTTAGTGTCCCTATATAAGCTCTCTCCTCTTGAGACCCTTGTGCCTGACCTGAGAAGGCCCAGTGGTTGTTGGATAAATGGGGAAAGTGAAGGAATGGAGAAGATAGAAGGGAACCAACCTGTCTGTGCAATAGAGAGGACTAATTGACATCAAGGGAGGTATAGATGAGGGAAAATCTCTTAAATATTTGTTGTGGAGGTTGCTATTGTCCTGGCTCCCAGGTGGCCCATGGATTCACCCAGCTCCACTGATGGACTCCATTGGTGGAAGAAGTAACCAGTAACGACTGCTTCCCTGCCCTGAGTGCCCACCATTTGCCAATTTAGCATGAAAACTGGGACATCTGGCTATGTATGAGAACCATTTAGATTTAACAAAACCAGTACTTTGGTCATAGCACTGAATTTTAGTATAGTGCTTTTAGGTATGGCATTAGCGTCCATTTACAAGGACGGAATCAAGAGACTCACAGGACCTCAGTGCCCAGTGCACAGCCAATTAGGGGCAATTCAAACCACCCAGGCCTGTCGGTTCCAACATGGAAGATCCGAGGCTGAGTCTACCTCAAGTTAGCCATAAGATTTCACTGAAGTGGGTTACTATATCTTGGCTTTAGAGACATGGTCCGCTGGGGACAAGCTCACAGATCTGCAAGGCTAATATACCCAGCTCCCATCCATTACCTGTTGGTTTTGATCCCTAGTGTCTTCCGTGTGATACAGTATGGCCCATCTGCCCACAGCTGATACATTGACCCAAAGGCATGGGTACTGGGGCACCTTCTTGCCCTCCAGCTCTTCTTGGTCCTTGATGTTGACTTCAATCAAGTGACAGGTGGATTCCTGGGTCCACACACTGGGGAGACAACACACACACACACACACACACACACACACAAATATCCCTTAAAAACAAGGGCAACACACACCCCACTTTGAATCCCTGATTCCCTGAAAGCCTTTGGAGATGTCCAGAGCTGGGACTTTCATTTTGTCATGGGCATGCAATACTAACTAGGTCCATGGTCCTAGAGTCCTGGACTCTGGGATAAATCACAATAATTTCAGACTGGTTGTCTCTTGGACATTTTCTACATAATTGTTCTCTGACCTTGCTAGCCACCCCACACCTGACTTTTTTTTTTTTTAAAGATCCCTATAGCTAGCTGAGTCCCACTGTAGAGAAAGTGAGGCAGAATTTCTCAGCTGCTTGGGCCCTGGCACTGTTGTTGTTTTAAATGCTCATCATGGGATTGGTTGAGCAGCCAAGCCCAAGACCTTCTTATCCATATCATCTGCAAGTCACATGTAGAGATGAAAACCTCACATGGGATAGGTAATTTAGGGGAGGCGTAGGAGTAGGGGGAGCACAGCATCTGAGGCAAGGGCTGAGTAGCTTCAGAGTCTCTGCCCTTTCCCCTAAAAAAAGAGGAACTATGTGAGGGGCCTGACATGGTCAGGGTTGGAGGGTGGCAGGATAGAGCCAGGGAGGCCCGTGGCTGCTCAGCAGTGCCTCACTTGGTGAGACTCTGGCCTGGCACAAATGCAGCATTGCAAAGCAAGGATGTAGACCAGACCCAGAAGAGGCCAAGAGGCTCATCAACTCCTAAGCAAATGGATTGTGACTCAGCTCGCTGTATCCTGTGGGAGACGCACTGTCAGACAAGAGAGGATTATCAGGGGCCAGAATCTGCCCAGAAGGAGAGTGTGAGACTCAGCAAAGGGTGAGCTGAGAGACCAATGTGTGTCTGTTCCAAAGACAACAGCAATCAGGAATCCCACAGCTCTTCTTTAAAGGCTGGAGGGATGACATGTCTCAGAGTGTGAGGCACGAGGGTACACAGCACTCTCTGAGATTCCTGCCTAAACTTTGAGGGAACAGATGTCTACTCAGTGCAGAGACTACTTACTGGGAAAACCCAGGCAAGGAGAGGCACGCTCAGCAAAGAGGGAGCTCCCGTCTCAGAGCCATTTGTGCAGACTGCTGCCAGAGTCTGCCACTGTGACCCCCACTCCCCACCCCCAAGGATCATTGGCAGGCTGTTTCTTATGACATTGGCATCCTGCACCTGTCATCACCAGCTCTGACTGGCAAGTCTCTTCTGTTCTGCTCCCCCAGCACCTAAGCCTAAGGATGAAGAATGACTGGTCTGTCCAGACTACCGTGAGGGATCGAGGGTAGGGTAGGTTGATCTAGGCAGTGGAGAGGTCCATACCTTTTCTGGTAGAGAGGCAGCACAGTGGTACCCAGGATGTAGTAGGTGATGGCGGCACATACTACCATTGCCAGCCCCAGGCAGAGGGCTCGTGTCTCTCCGCGCTTCTGGGCCATCACCAGCTTCTTCCCCATGGCTACCGGAGGCAACAGTCATTTCTAACACCACAAAGACAAAGAGAAATGCAATTAGCCTAAGTGATAGATTCATAGGAAGGAGGGCAAGTGCGATGGGATGCAACCAAATAACATTGCTCTTATTCGAGTATAATAATATGTGGGGCTTTGCAACTTCCAATAGGGCTGTGCCTTACAGGGGCCTTTTCTGGTCTCTGGTAACAGCCTATGGTTAGCTTTTAAATACTCAGGATCCATTATCACCAATTATCTCCTGGAGAAGCTCAGCACATTTGTGGGTATTTCCTTGAGGTGCCAGCTTCTTTCAGTGAGCCCTCCTAGACTCTTGGGCATTCCCAAGATGAGTGGCAGCAGGAGTCTGGTCAAGGCTATAGCATGGGAACCCAGAAGGGAACGAAAGGATGTCATCTGTTCCCGAGAGGTCCAGCTCCTGTGACTGGTTGTCATCTTACCTGCCCATAATGTCCCAATGGCTCACCAGTCACATGGAGTCAGTTCTCAAAGAAACATCAACCCCTATGCTGTATCCCGAGATTCAGTTTAAATGTAACACTTCGGTGGGGATCTGGGATTCAGTAGACCTAATGAGAACCTCCAACAAGGAGGAGGATGCGAAGCTTTGATAGCCATTGTGACCTAAGACAGGCAGAAATGGGTTTCCATAATAACAGAAGAGATTTCACTTAAGACTACAGGGAGACTATCCCAGTTGTGAGATACTACATGTCCCAAGACTCCTTGGATGAAACTCTTGTGTAGAAAAGTCACCTTAGGTTTGGGCTTGATCTAGGATAGTTGGAAAGGGTTAAAAAAGAGTCCTGTGTGGCGTAACTGTTGGGTTGTTAACCTCTTCCTTAGAAGGACTTGGGATAGAGTGTGTAAGGTTTGGGGGAGTGTGGAGAAGAGAGGTCATCAGACACAAGATCAAGTCCTGGCTTTGCTGCTTAGCAGCCACGTGACTGTTGAAACAAGAAAAACAATGCCCGTCTCAGAGTCCTGATGCAGATTCACCAACACCTCTGAGCATCACCCACTTGCTACAATGGAGCCCTCCATAAACATTAGTTATCATTAACTGAAGAACTGAAGAAGCTTAGAACACTCTGCTAGGTCCTATCCTGATGACAAATGACAAGACCTCCAGGCTGTCCACAAAAAAGATGCCCAGACCAGGGTCAGCAGGCCAGGCAGGCTCTCCGGAGTCAGAACTCTGATGGGCAGCAGGAGAGGTAGGGATTTTCACCACCCTATCCATATCACCACAGGCTGCTGTCTCCCACCATCTCCCCTCAGCCTCAGCTTCCCAGAAGCCCTTCCCAAGCTCTCTGGGATGTAGCACTCACAGTTCCCTGGGTCTCCGCTGGCAGATGGTTTCTCTCCACTCTCCCCCCTACCCCCACCCCAAGTCAGGCCCAGGAGTTCTAGCAGGAAGTTTGGTCTCTCAGCTGGTCTCCAGGGAAGCAGTCTTCAGTCCCATCTGGGTAAAGCCTCCATGCCCAAACATGGTCAAGTCTGAGCACACAGCTTGCTCCGGGACAAAAACTCCACAAGCAGGTACCTAGCCTCGCAGCTCTCAGCTGCTGTTGGGGACTCTGCCCCTGCATTTCCCAGAGTCTCCTGGGAAACAGATGTCAAACAGCAAAACCCATTACTCACCCCACAAGACCATCCTGCTGTATATACGGAAATGTTTCTTCTACACTCCCTCTCTTGGGATGACAGAAAGCCAGGAATAGGAAACAATCTTCCTTGTGCAGTGCAGGGGAGAGAGGTAGAGGGGTTGGGCTTGTCACTAGCCCCTGGTATATTCACACCGGTGCAGCCAAACCCTCCCACCTTTGTCCCTGACGTCCTGTGTGACTTGGAACAAGTCACGGCACCTCTCTGCACCTGTTTTCTCCCTTTTATCATTAGCGTTTTGAAAACTTCACTTTGTTCAGGATTGTGAAGTGAGAGATGGTGAAGTCCAGAGAAAGGAGGAAACTCCACCTTTTAAAGAGCACTGGGGCTGAGGCTGGGAGCAGTGGGTCCCACAGCTGCTCCCAGCCAACCGTCCAGATCTGGGGACAGTGCCGTGCTGGAGACCTACCACAAACTGACTCTGCTTCATAGGCAGAAAGTTGTTGCAACCAATAAGACAACTGAACATTGGTGCAGGGGCTGGAGGGGGCATACAAACCTGCTTGTGCACTCCAGGTCCTCATTGAAAAAGAACAAGCCCACCCAGCCCTGCTACCCATGCTCACACCCTTCAGTGCCCTGCTAGGCATCTGCATAGAATTGAGAACGGCAGACTTGATGGCTGGTCCAGAGTTTCTCTACTTGATGGGCAGAGACAGATTAGAAGTTGACCGCTCCCAGTGGCAAATCCCAGCCATCCCTGCCCACTAAGGGACTGTTCTAACACCTCAAATCATACCTCTGATATGTCCCTAGGCACCTAAATTCTAGAGCTTGCCTCTGGTGTCCCCAGTCCCAGGGCAGTGGGTGCAGCTTGGATATTCCTGTCCATTGAGTGTCTGCACCTCTCACCTAAGCCTGCCACCTGAGGGTCTGATAAGGCCTAGAAGGAAAATTGTCACTCAAGGCTCCTTGGTACTCTGGTGGTGAGTACCATGCCATCCCCCCCCTTTTTTTCTCATTGACTCTAGCAAAAGAGTCAACCTCCTGTCATCTGAAGGCTGCTAGCAGAATACTGGCTCCCATGTGCAAAGGAGAAGGGCCTCAAAGCCAAACCCCACAGTGACACACTTCCTCCAACAAGGTTACACCTCCTAATAGTACCACTCCCTGGACCAAGCGTATTCAAACTTCCACAGGGTGATTTCCTGCACAGCTATCATAATTATATCAAGAGTATGGTAAGTGATTTCAAATGGGGTGGTCCCTGTTGCTGCTGGTGGTAGGAATCAAACACCTGAGATGACTGTGGGGTAGCCATGTGGAGCTTAGAAATATGAGAGTTATCCTCCCATCAACACCTCACACCGCTGCACAGTTAGAACAGAAGGGCAGTCAAGAGAAGGATTTTATATTTACTGAGCATCTTCATTGCGCCAGGCCACGGGCTATTAGTCAGCTTTCCATGGCTGTGTGTTCAGAGGCTTCAGCTCTGATAGACTGGCTGTGTTATCTGTAGGGCTGTGGAAAAGCAGAACACAGTACGGACAGAAGCCTCTCGCTTCTGTACCTCCACTTTCTTTGTGAGGAACAGGGTACAAACAGAGAAAGGGTCCAAGAACACATAGATGATACACCCTTCAAAATCACACCCCTGGTGACCCCACTTTCTCCCAGGAGGCCTTGCTTCCTAACAAGTCTACAATCTTCTAGTAGCGCCACCTGCTGGCAACCAATGGTTCCAAATATGGGAGGCATTCAAGATCCAAATTGGAACACCAAGCTATATGGATCACCAACCTCCCTTAGCCAAGGAGCTGCTTTCTGCTGCTTTAGCTACCCACGTGGTTTAGTTGCCTTTCTATTGCTGCAGAGAGACACCGTGACCACTGAAACTCTTGCAAAGGAAAAAATTTAATTGGGACTGGGTTACAGTTTAAGAGGTTTAGACCGTTATCATCATGGTGGAGAGCAGGCAGACGTGGTGCTGGAGAGTCCTACACTTTGACTCACACTGGGCATAGCTTGAGCATATGAGACTCCGAACTCACCTCCACAGTAACTTCTTCCAACAAAGCCACACCTACTCCAACAAGAGCACCCTATACCAAGAAGGCCACACCTCCTAATAGTGCCACTCCCTATGGGCCTGTAGGGGCCATGTTTATTCAAATCAACATACCTTGTTTAACCATGGTCATAAAATATTGATAGAATATTCTAGAAATAAGCAATTCATACATTTTAAATAACTTTTATTATGGTATATTGTTTTAATTACCAGTAATTATTTCTTACTGTGGCTAAATTATAAATTTAATTTTGTCGTAGGTGTGCATGTACAGAGAAACTGATTCTACTTGGGGTTTGGTGGTTCCTGTGCTTTCAGTTATCTAAGGAAAGTTTCATAAAGTGCACAAATACACATTCATTTTTACCAGCAAACCCCACAAAGGCCCGAGCTTTCTGTCAGCCAAGTGATTTTCCCCAGACCATGCCCAGAATGGGACGCAATGGATCTTGGATCTGAATCTGTGCCCACTGACTCCACAGACCCCTCTGTCACTCAGGACTCCCACGGGAGCCATGGCTGAGAGCATCAGTCTGCATGCAGCTGGTTTACAGCCCCTCTCATCCTCCCAAACCCCCTTTCCGATTTGGCAGCTGCTTACTTATGTAAGCCCCTTCGAGTCAGCATCTAGTCTCCAGCAACACTTGGTGAGTAAGTCCCACAGATCAGCCATGTCTGAAGCCTCTGCCCTGTGTGTGTCATGTCCTGCGTGTCTCAGGGAGAGTGAGCTGGTGGCCCCAGGACAGACATCTCAGTGCCCATTGTGCCTAGACTCTGGGCACATCCTGCTGAGGCAAATATCATCAGCTTTATCCTCTGTGGGAGGTCAGATTGTTAAAACTACAAAAGAAAAACAGAGAACGACGTATTTATGAGAGCATGGTGGTCTCCCCTTAGCCACGGTTTTGGTATTGGCGACTTCCCTTCCCCATGGTCAACAGCAGCCTGAAAATACAACATGGAAAGTTCCAGAGATAAATAATTCATAGATTTTTAAATTACTTTCATTGCCTTACGTCATCATAATTGCTCTATTTTATTGTTAGTTATGGTTAAATTTTCCCTTACCAGATCTGCAAATTAAACTTTATCATAGATATGTGTATATCAGAAACATTACAGTATGTGTAGGATTTGTGGTTGCAGACATCCACAGGGGTCTTGGAATTCCTTCTCCACAGACAAGAGCAACTGCAACAAAAACAAATGCAGGGAAAATAACTAGAGGAGAAGGTTTGTAGCACTGAAACGGCCAAATAGAGCAGCAGCAAAATTCAACATCATTAGGAGAATTAAACATCATGAA